AAAAAAAAAAAAAAAAAAGAACATGACTGGGACGGGACGCCTGAGTTTGACTCTTGGCTCCACCACTTACCAAGTAGGCAAGTTACTTAACTTCTCTAAGTCGTGATCACTGTCTTCCTCTGCCATACAAGATGATAACGATCTCTCTTTTCAGGGGTACTGGGAGGGCTGAGCCAGGGACTGCACATACAGCTCTTGGTGTAGTACCTGGTACCTTCGTTCTCCTCCTCCTCATCCTCCGTATCATATTTAGAACCAGGACTCTGCCCGCTGGAGCGTGACATCCCAGGGTGCTCCTAACAGCAGCAAGCCTCAGGAACTGGCAGGGGAAGGCCTCACCCAGGGATGTCCCCAACCACCCTGACACACTGGAATCTGGCCATAAGGGAGTGCCAAGAAACACCACTCTCAGGGCTCTGTGGCTTCTTTGACCTGCCCTCTCATCCAAGCAGAGGGCAGGGGCCAAAGGAGTCAAGATTCACTGTGATGAGGAGGAAGGAATCCCCTACTGTGGGGGACCCTTGGTGTCAGGTTAAGGCGCCACTTTGCCTACAATGTGCTCTGGGCTCACCTCCCACCCTAGGCAGGAGCCAAGCAAGTGGTCCTCCAGCTTCTGCCTCAGAGGGTCTCAGAGGACCACTGAAAGTGGATTTCTTCCCATCATGCCTTTGTCCCACATTTGCCAATAGCACGCAGTGCCTGGTGATCCTTTAAACCCAAAGTAAGGATTTGGATGAATCTGGAGACTTAAGTCCCCAGGAAATATTTGCGTGTGTGCAGATAAACACACATCCCCACATGGGCCCTCTTACGTGGAACAGCAACGCCAAAGTGCTGTGGGTTCTCGGCCACCACCTTTTGCTTCAGCTCGTGCAGTCGGGCTCCCAGAGACCCTGGGAAACAAGAGAAAGGCTGACCAAGGTCCCTGCCAAGCCCCCTCCCCACCCGCTCCAGGGAGGAAACCAGATCACTCTCTGGAAACCCGGGATGGCACTTACCGATCAGAACCACCAGGCGGGGCAGCTCTCCGGGCTGGTGTTGGTACCTGGCCACCTCCTCATAAGTCAGCAGCTCTGGAGACTCAGCTCCAGAGGACATCTTCCCTTCCTGCAAGCCACCCAGTCTCTCTCTACAGCCCAGCCGGAAGCTCCTCCGAAGACCAGCTTGGGAGGGGGGCAGAGGGACACCATGGCATTTGTCCCAGGATCTCCCAGTAGAGACTTTTTCTACCTGGCCAGACCTGGAGATGGAACTGAGTCCCACTGACTTCTCCCAACCTCCTCCTGCTACTGGAAGGGGTTGTTCGGGAAACACAATAAGATGAATGGGTGACCTCTGCATCCACAAACTAGGGCTCAAGGTCACGGTTTTACTTGGCATGTGACTGCCCTTGGACAAGTCCCTTCTTCATCTCTCTGAGCCTCAATTTCCTTATCTGTGAAATAAGGATATGAATCTACAAATACCATGTGTGGTCCTAGATTGGATCCTGGACCAAATGCTATAAAAGACTTGGTGGGAACAACTGATAACATTTTAATAACAGTAAATAATAGAATTGGATGCATTTTAAATTCCCAGAATTTGATCATTGCCCTGAGAAAGTCCTTGGCCTTAGGAAATACATTTAGGGGTAAAGGGACATGATGCCTCCAACTCACGACTCAGGAAAAGAAAACGCATAGATGTGGGAAAGGAAATTGAGCAAACGTGGCAAAGCAGCCACAACTGGTGAATCTGGTGTGGAGTACTTGGGAGTTATTTGTACAATTCTTACACCGTTTCAGTAAGTCTGAAATTACTTCAAAATAAAAGTTAAGGGGCTGGATACAGTGGTTCATGCCTGTATCCCAGCAAGGCAGGCAGATCACGTGATCCCAGGAGTTCAGGACCACTGGGCAACATGGTGAAACTCTGTCCCTACAAAATATACAAAAATTAGCCAGGTGTAGTGGCATGCACCTGTAGTCCCAGCTATTGGGGAGGCCGAGATGGAAGGATCGCTTGAGCCTGGGAGGCTGAGGCTACAGTGAGTTGTGATCATACCACTGCACTCCAGTGTGGGTAACAGAGCAAAACCGTGTCTCAACAAATAATTGTTAAAAAAGTTTAATAACTTTTTAGGTGGGAGGATTGGCTGAGACTAGGAGCTTGAAACCAGCTTGGGTAACATCCAGAGATGGAGACCCTCCATCTCTGCAAAAAAATTTTTTTTAATCGGCTGGGCATGGTGTCAGGTGCCTGTAGTCCCAGCTACTCGGGAAGCTGAGGTGGGAGGGCTATTTGAGCCTGGGAGGTTGAGGCGGCTGCAAGCTTCAATGTCACTACTGCACTCCAGCGTGAGTGACAGAGCAAGACCCTGTCTCTAAAAAATAACCGAAAACCAACAACAAAAAAAACCTTTTGCCTCTCTAAGACCTTCAAAAAACTGACCAAAATAAAAAGTGAAAGGGGCTCTGGAGAGCGGTGAACGCCCCCGCTGTGTGGTGGTGACGTTAATATTGAATAAACTCCAATGACGACGATGATGATAATGGAATTGGTATTACTGTTGGGGTGTGTGTGCCCTTCCCGCCAGGCACTGTGCCCCTAGGCTGCGTAATAACTGGGTGGGGGCCCGATGCCTGGATAGGCTCAGCTCCCGCTCCAGCTGAGAGACTGCGGAGAGAGAGGGGTCCCACGGGCTCTGCTGCTCCGGAAGGACTCCTGGGGCTCGCATCACCCCGCTTTGACCTCTCCCTGACTCTGGAGGCTGAGGTGGGGCAGGTTGTGCATGGGGGTGTCAGGGGAGCCACTTACCCACATAGTGCCCTTTGAGGTAGCCCTCACAGTCACAGGTCTCTGGAAGCAAACAGGGAGGGAAGCCAGTGAGTCCCGCCAGACACACCCGGCCCAGGGGACCCTGCTGCCCCTGAGTGGGCCAGGCAGGAAGAACCCCCTGGGATGGTGTCTCCGGGAGAGCTCAGGAGAAATCCCACGTCCTGGCCACCCGCAGAAAGCAAGATCTTCTGTTTGGCTCAGTTCTCCATGCTTAGATCCCTAACAGCCTCTCCAGGCCCTGAGGGGGATTCTAAGCCAGCAGGCCCCTCCCCAGTCCCCAGTGTGGCCCCGTGAATGAGGGAGGGTTCGCTCCTGCCTGCCCCGCCCCCCACCCTGTGTCTCCCACCCAGCCCCATCACAGCACAGCCTAGTCCTGGAAAGGCAGGGTCCTGCGTGTCAGGCAGGCAGGTAGGGGCCCCAAGGCCTTGAACCCTGTCTCCACCAGCTCTGCCTGCCTCAAGGAACAGCCCAGTCCAGCTGGCAGAGCAGGAAGAGATGTGCAGACAGCGTGAGGCACACAGCTGCCCAGATGGGGAAAGAACGTGAGCCCCTCAGGCCCTAGACAGTCCACGGAAAAGGGGCCGTGCCTGTGCGCAGCAGACAGATCCTGGGCCTACCTTTGTCACAAGGCTGATCATCTGCGGTTTGCACAAAAGACAGATGGGACAGCATTAGTGGAGGGAAGTGGGGACCCTGTGGCTGAGGGCAGCCACGGCCCGGGTGCCTGAGGAGCCCACCATCTGGCCTCTCTCCCTTTCCTCCAACGAACCTGTGATCTGAGCTGTGGTCCATTATTCAACCCCAAGACCTGCTCTAATTAGTCTTCTTGTGTGTGTCTCATTAGCAGCCCAGAGAAAGGCAGCTCATCACTGGCCAAGCACCTCAAGGCCACTGCACTCAGCAGCCCTTCCAACGTCACAGCAAGTCTGGCAAAGCAGCCATTGTCAGGGGCCCAGGGAGCAGCTCACTCTAGGATCCTGCAGTGGAAGAGGACCCACTCACTCTTCTCTGGGGTTAGAGACGGGCCCTGGAAAACGCAGATGCCTGAGGATGGAGCAGGGTGGAGCAGAGCTGCAGGCCAGCTGCGTGCTGGTCACTGGGCACTTACTCAGGCCATCTAGTACCAGAGAGACGGTGCCCTGGAAAAGCTTCCTCTACACGGGGCCCTACCCTGGGGCTCTGATCACAGGCCTTCAGAAAATGTGTCCCCACCTCTGCTCGCTTAACCTTGTGACCCTACATATTCCCAGCTTGGAAAAGATACCTGACTCTGCCTACTTCCCAGGGTTCCAAGAAGTAGGTGGACGTGTTTTCTAAAGGGTAAAGGGCTACACAGAGTTGTCGGATAAAATGCAGGACACCCACTTAAACTTGAATTTCAAAAAAAAAAAAAAAAAAAAAAAACGAGTAACTTCTAAGTATGTCCCAAAGATTGCACAGGACACACTTAAAATCTAATAAAAACATACTAGAAACCAATCTGTCATCTATCTGAAATTCAAGTTTCAATTGGGCATCCTTTATTTATATTTGCCTAGTCTGGCAATCTGGCAGCCCTCGCACAGACGCACAGCATCACACACAGCCTTCGCCTTCCCTTCCAACACCGGTGCTTCTTCCATTTTCAGGGTCAGAGAGCCCTTGGGAATCTAATGAAAGCTGTGGACGGACGGACACGGACACACACACACACACACACACACACACACACACACACGTCTGCATATCATTTTGAGAAAGGCGTTAATACACCCCCCAGCATCATTTATGGACTCCACATATGCAAGCTCCTCTCCAGGAAATAGCTGTCCCACCTCCCACTCCCCACACCCTCCTTCCTCTGGAGTCCGAGAGCTCAGACAGGACCCCTGTCGCCCCCTCTAGCCCAGTGCCTGCTTCTCCCCAGCCTGAAGCCCCCCCACATCCTAACCCTGGGCCCTCCTGGAGCGCCACCCTGACAGTCTACTCACAGGGGGGCTTCTTGAGGCTCTGAGGGCTCGGCAGGGTACCCGCAGCTCTCCGGTAGCTCAGTCGTCTGCAGGGACACAAGGGCATGGGAGGGCCTATGAGCTGGGCCAGAGAACCAGTTGAAAAGAACCTTCTGGAAAACTCGGGAAACCGAGGCCTGGATCCCACAGGTGGGCACACACTGGACACTCCAAGGGCCTCCTGCTTTGCACTAAGTTCCAGTGAAGAGGACACTTTCACAGGGCTCGCTGGTTCACCAGGAGGAAGAAGCTGAGTCTCTTGCTCCAGAAATAGCTCACCCAGCTCAAGATTGCCACACAGGGATGCAGCCCGGCGAACGGTCCTCAGCTGGTCGTTACTCTCCTATGGCCAATTTCCGAGGAGGGGCGGCCCCTTCTCTATCCCTACCCAGCCTCCCCATCTCTGAGGGAGCCGGGAAATAGCAGAATGACTCCCAGGAGAGGCCAAGGACAGAAGTGACCCTAATTTAACACCCTCCCCGCTAGTGGAAGGCTCAGCCCTGGCACACCGTCCAATGTGCCTGTTAGTGGAGAGGTGGGGCTCTCGGAGGTGTCTAGATTTCCACATTTAAATGCGGCTGAAGGGCCAGGCACAGTGGCTCACACCTGTAATCCCAGTACTTTGGGAGGCCAAGGTGGGAGGATCACTTGAGGTCAGGAGTTCAAGACCAGTCTGGCCAACATGGTGAAACCCCATCCCTACTAAAAATACAAAATTTAGCCGGGCACATGTCTGTATTCCCAGCTACTTGAGAGGCTGAGGCAGGAGAATTGCTTGAACCCATGAGGTAGAGGCTGCAGTGGGTGGAGATCACACTACTACATTCCGGCCTAGGCGACAGAGTGAAACTATGCCTCAAAAAAAAAAAAAAAAAAAATTGCAGCTGAAGTGCCCTCCCCCACATCCTCTGGTAAGGTGTTGCCAAGACCTGTGAACCCTAAACTGCAGATGGGTCTGGGGTTCCCCTGAGGCGGCAGAGCTTCATTCTCAGACTTCAGCACCTCGGAATCACCCAGAACATTTGTTAGAAGGTGGAATTTCTGGGCGGGACCCATGGATTTGTATTTCTAACAAGTTCTCAGGTGATGCTGAGGCCCAGCCAGGTGGCCACACCTTGAGGGCCACTGAAATGGGTGAACCCTCAGGTCCTATCCTCGCCACAGTCCACACACCAAAAGACGCAAGGGCTACAACCCACAGTGGAAGTCACGACTGCCACCCTCTGACCCAAGGTTGACCCTCTTGGAAGTCTAGAGAAATAATCTGAGCCCAGGCACAGTGGCTCATGCCTGTAATCCCAGCACTTTGGGAGGCCGAGGCGGGCGGATTATGAGGTCAGGAGCTCGAGACCATCCTGGCTAATCCAGTGAAACCCCGTCTCTACTAAAAATACAAAACATTAGCCGCGTGTAGTGGCAGGGCCCCTATAACTCCAGCTACTTGGGAGGCTGAGGCAGGAGAACTGCTTGAACCTATGAGGTGGAGGTTGCAGTAAGCTGAGATCGTGCCACTGAAAAAAAACCCGGGAAAAAAAGTGAAAAAAAAAAAAAAAAAAAAAAAAAAAAGAAAAAAATTTGAAATATGAGGAACAGTCTACGTGCAAGGTATGTACTGCAGCCTTATAACAGTGGAGAACTGAAACCACCTAATAAACATGCAGCCACAGGAAAGCAGTGACGTCATTTAGCTAGTTCCTCCGAGAAGCCTTCCCTGCGTTCCTGGATGAGGGCACAGCCTCCTCATATGAACTCACAGAGCATCATGTCCTCCTCCCACGCACCCATCACATATAAACTGTTTGTTTGAAGAGTATCTGGCATTTCCACTGAACTATAAGCTCCTCCAGGGCAGAAACCCTGGGTTCACGGCAGCCCGCAAGATGCCTAGCATGAGGCCAGCTCAATTCATCCCAAATACCTGCCACCTAGGAATGAATGGCACGACTCAATGAGTTAGTATACAGCCACTAAAATCACACTACAATGACGGTGCTATAATATGGGAAATACTCAGGCCAAAATGTTAAAAAAATCAAAATAAAAAGCAAAACCCCAAATTCTGTATGCAACACTCACATAAAAAGCACAAAAAGGAACTAAACTATGTTGTTTAGATAGGAGTGAGACTTGGGGAATTTTCTTTCATAGTCCCCCTCTTCTTTTTTTTTGAGTCTGGGTCTCACTCTGTTACTCAGGCTGGAGTGCAGTGTATAATCACTCACTGGCAGCCTTGACCTTCTTGGGCTCAAGCGATCCTTCCACCCCAGCCTCCTGAGAAGCTGGGACTACAGGTATGTGCCACTACGCTTAGCTAATTTTTTATTTTTTGTAGAGACAAGGTCTCACTATGTTGCCTAGGCTGGTCTTGAACTCCTGGGCCTAAGGGAACCTTCTGCCTTGGCTTCCCAAAGTGCTGGGATTACAGGAGTGAGCCACAACTATGCCCAGCCTCTCTTCTGTATTTTTATATTTTATTTCTCAACATTTTCTAAGCATGCATTAAAATATACATTAACTTAGGCTTGGCCCAGTGACTCATGCCTGTAATTCCAGCACTTTGGGAGGTTGAGGCAGGTGAATCACCTGAGGCCAGGAGTTTGAGACCAGCCTGGCCAACGTAGTGAAACCCTGTCTCTACTAAAAATACAAAAATTAGCCAGGCATGGTGGTGCACGACTGTAATCTCAGCTACTCAGGAGGCTGAGGCATGAGAATTGCTTGAACCCAGGAGGTGGTGGTTGCAGTGAGCCAAGATTGCGCCACTGCACTCCAGCCTGGGTGACAGAGTGACACTGTCTCAAAAATAAAATAAAATACACACACCCCCCACACACACACATACACACCTTAACTTCACATAAATTTCCATAGATTCCTTTTTTTCTTTGAGACAGAGTCTCACTTTGTCACCATACTGGAGTGCAGTGGCGCGATCTCGGCTTACTGCAAACTCTGACTCCTGGGTTCAAGCAATTCTCCTGCCTCAACTCCCCAAGCACCTGGGACTATAAGCATGCGCCACCACACCCAGCTAATTTTTGTATTTTTAGTAGAAACGAGGTTTCACCATGTTGGCCAGGATGGTCTCGATCTCTTGACCTCATGATCTGCCCGCCTTGGCCTCAAGTGTTGGGATTACAGGTGTGAGCCATCACGTCTGGCCCAGATTCCTTTAAATCTCAAACAGCCATCACCACAAGTTATGGGAAAAGACGAAACGCACATGCAACTGGTACTCACCTTGGAGGAACAACACTCAGCAGGCCCCTCTGGCTGTGAGGACAGACTTAGGGGTCTGTCATGTACCTGTGCCTCTGCCACTCTGGAACCAGCCCTTCATGACACACCCCAGACCCACCTCTCCTGGAACCGCTTTGAGGGGATGAGGCCGGCTCGAAGGTTGGTGTCCCCGACTCGCTTGGCCTGCCACCATGTGGGGTCGTCCTGGCTCACCACCTCCAGGACCTGCCTGCGCTGGAAGGGCAGGCCCGCCTCCTGGCAAGGGATGGCCCGGTCCTCCCGAGGGTTGTAGTGGAAGAGGGCACGCATGAACACCTGCACAAGGAGGGCTCAGGTGAGGCAGCCCTTCCCCCGCGAGCACAGACATGTCACTGCCACATCAAAGGCCACATGACGACCATCCACACTTGGGAGGACCGAGCGGCCTTTAGAATAGAAAGCTACTTGGAAACACACTGCTCATACGTTCCTTTTTTTTTCCATATGGAGTCTCACTCTGTAACCAGGCTGGAGTGCAGTAGCGTGATCTCGGCTCACTGCAACCTCCAACTCCCTGTTTCAAGCAATTCTCCTGTCTCAGGCCTTCGAGTATCTGGGATTACAGGCACATGCAACCATGCCCAGCTAATTTTTGTTTGTTTGTTTGTTTTAGTAAAGATGGATTTTCTCCATGTTGGCCAGGATGGTCTCAATCTCCTGACCCCATGATCTGCCTGCTTCAGCCTCTCAAAGTGTTGGGATTACAGGTATGAGCCATTGAGCCCGGCCCGTACATATGTTCTTAACTGTTCTTCAACCATTTGGGATAGTGTAGTCAGGAAGTCCATCAAAAATCAGAAAATTAATAGACAGGTCCCATGACTGAATGTCTCTTTCCCACCTAAATATTTCCTTATTTAACGTGACTAGCTGTCCTCATAACAGCCTCTCAGCGCACACACAGCAACAACTAATCCTGGGAACAAAAAGTAAAGGCAAGCACAATTTCTAACTCAAGTGTTATTTTTGATATGCCAACTGCACTGACGGGAGGCAGCCGCCATCTGTTATATAAGTAATCTAGATGTTTGGGTAAGAACACAAATATCAACAAAACTACTGTTACTGACTCCTCACCATCACTTTTCTGTGAGTAACTGACACCCACGGCACTTACAGCTCAATCCTGCCTCGGCTGCCACAGACAACACAAGCCCAGTTCTCCGTCTACCCTAGAGTCGCCCTCCCTGGAGAAGATGTTGTGAGGACACAGCATTTTTCACACTTCCTTGCTCTCCTCTATAATTTGGTGCAATGGATTGATTTTATTTATTTGCATTTTCAGACCATTAGGGCCCGATCCCTTCAGTGGCTAAAAAAAAAAAAAAAAAAAAAAAGCAAACAGGGGTCTTTCTCAGCCAGATAAACTGTATTCCTTTCTATGTCAACCAGAAAAGATTCCACCGGACAATAGTAAGAACTTTCCAGCATATGTTGTGGGGATAAACACCCTGAACCAGCCACAGATGTTACCAGGGTCCTAAGCACTCAGAAGAGTGTCATGTTAAGGGGCCAGCCCGAATCAAGCATCTGGATCAGGAAGAAATATTCAAGAAGGATGGGCTAGGGGACAGGCTACTCATTTTGTCCTTTAGGAAAACCAAGTTCTCTTCCTCAAAGAGGGTTCCTAAAGTCAGAACCCTCGAAGTTGCATATGGGGACCACATTCGCTTGTCCTAGGAAGAATCACCTTCCACCAGGTAAAGGGAAATATTATGCTCTGGGATTTAACCAAAGAGCACAAATAAGAAACAGCTATATAAAGATTATTTCTTCACTTGCTGTAAAAACTGTCATTGAAGACACTGCCCATTACTAATCCACATTCATCAAAGCATCAACTAACATCTCCTCTGTGCCAGATACGTTAAGTACTGAGAGGCAGGGATGGGAATCAATCTTGAAAAACTGGCATACTTCCTTCCATTCTCTGCGAACAGTATGTAATTCATTACGTTCTCCTTTTTGCCTTGGCTGCCAGGAAACTCAGATCCAAATGTACTGTGAAATCAAAGTGATGCCCTCCTCTCTCTATCAACCACCATCTCACAGTTCAGGTCTTAATAATGTCTCACCTGGGCTTTTACAAGAGCCTTTTACCTGCCTTCCTGCCTCCAGCCGCTACCTATTCCACCCTCCTCCATGTGGCTGCCCCAGGGAGCTTTCTAAAACACAAATATGATTGCACCACTCCCATCCTTAAAAAAAAAAAAGCAGCAACAACAAGAACACCTTTAAGAGCTGATTAGAACCTATGGGATTATCTCTTGGGCTGTGGGCTGCCCTCCCACATGCCCCAGGGCTGGACCATTCCATGCAGCTTGGGCTGACTTCCAGCGGCCAGCACCTGCTTGTCTTTGCCTAAGGACTTACTTTCTCTGGCCACTGGAGCCTGCTCTTCTCTAATTCAGCAGGCAGAAGTTGCTAGAATTAATCCCCCGGTCGCCGTCTGGCAGGAGTTGGTGTATAGACTGCCCAGCTCCCAGGGCACTTGGATGGGATGATGGAGGCGTGTGTTCTACGGGGGAAGAAGTGGTTCCCCCAGTTCCCAGCAGGACTAAGCTCCAGTTGCCCATAGTGGCAACCGGCTTGATAACACACCCTTAGTCAGATCAGCGTCTTCCCTTCCCAGTCCTGTTCTGGTGTTTCCTGGGGTCACTTCCCAAGTAAACCATCTGCATTCAAATCCTTATCTCAGGGTCAGCTTCTAAGAGGCCCCAAACTAAGGAAGGATTATGCCAAAGCTCTTAACAAAGCACTCAAGGCCATTCAGAACACAGGCTTAACCCACACCCAGCAAAACCCACTACCACCCTCGCCGCCCCAAGCCCCATCACATTGCCCTTAACATGCCCCTCTCCAGAATGCCAGGGAGCCTTTGTGTGGGCAGCCCCCGCCAAGGTCCTACTCATCTTTACCTTCTCCAGGCCTCAGTTCTAACACTCCCACTCGGTGACACCCTCTAGGGTGACTGTAACTTTTTGTACAGAATCTTGTCAAAGCACTGATCACAAAGCAATGAAAAGACTTGCTGCCCTTCTGCACCAGGAACCTTGAAGCTACCAAGAGTCCCTGTCTCCAGCATCTGGCGGAGTGCCTGGCACCGAGGAGGTGACCAAATAAGGCAGGCTCAGCAACAATTCAACCAATAGCAGTTACTTAATTGGTTCAGAATTCAGCACACTTGGTACTTTCTCCTCCTCTTCATGGCCCTGAGTTTCTATTTCAATTAAAATAACCTCGTCTTTTATTAGTAAGCTACGTCAAATCCTGTTTAGAAAGAGGCAGGGTACAAATAAATGAATCACTTTGTGACGGAATTAAAGTCCTCCACTGGGCACAGATGACTAGGACCAGATCTATGATCTGCTTTCTAATGACGGTTTCAGGAGGCTGGCCTGGCTCCAGCCTCAGCCGGCGAGCTGCATCTCTCAAGCTGAGAGCGGCCACCCGCGGGCCCACCTCCCCATACCTTGCTCTCCTTTAAGCAATCTTCCTCCTGGGTGGCTGGGATGATTTTTAGGGTGATGGATCCCTGGGACTGGGCCTGAAATGAGAGAGAACAGAAGCTTCTCGCCTGCCAGGTCTAATCCTCCATGAGTTCAACTCTTCCCAGGCCTAAAAACTGATGTTCAGAAAGTCAGACTTGCAGCCTCCCTGAGGCCTGCCCTTCTAGGATGGTAGCCTGGTTGAAGCAACTAAAGCAAAACTCAGTAACCAAGTCACTGTATGTATTTGTATTTTTATTATTTTTAAGCCAGTTCAAATTTAGCAGTGGGGGGGTTGGTAGTTGTATTTTCAAAAGACAAAGGGACGAAAGACTTTCCATGAGAACCCAAGGACACTGCCTGTTGAATACCAATTCTCCATCCCTTCTGACCGCTAGGGCCCCAGAGGGCTCCCTTCCTTGCATTTCTCTTGGGGCATCTGAACGACCCATTTCAGATATTTCCGTTTCCTTTTCCTTTTTCCTGCCTGATATGGGGCTGGTCTCTGATTAGCATGTCCCTCTTAGCTTCCATCTCCCCCAACAGCCCTCCAATCCCAGGCCACGCCCAGCTTTCTAGGAGCTCCCTTCCCACACATCTACAGAGACCCTGCAGCCCAATGCCAGGGGCCCAATGGGGAAGAACGCTGTCCCGCCAGGACAGCGCAGCCCAACACATCATCTCCTGGCCTCACCAATGCCCAGAAAGCCCAGACCCTTGCTCTGGAGCACAGGAGGTTGGCATCCAAAGCCACAGAAAAAAAAGCTCGGGCAAAAGGAATGAGGGGCCTGCTTGCAATCTGCATCCCCTACAGAAAGGGCTTTATTTTGTTGTTTGGTTTTGAAATGGAGTTTCACTCTTGTCACCCAGGCTACAGTGTAGTGGCTCGATCTCGGCTCACTGCAACCTCCACCTCCTGGGTTCAAGAGATTCTCCTGCCTCAGCCTCCCAAGCAGCTGGGATTACAGGTGCCTGCCACTATGCCTGGCTAATTTCTTGTATTTTTAGTAGAGGCAGGATTTCACCATGTTGGCCAGGCTGGTCTCAAACTTCTGATCTCAGGTGATCCACCTGCCTCAGCCTCCCAAAGTGCTGGGATTGTAGGTGTAAACCACCAAGCACACCCCAGAGAGGGCTTTAACCAGTGGACCTCCTCTCTTCAGATCTCATTCTGTTTCTGCCCCGCAAACCATCAGAAGTTAGCAAAGAGTGTCAGGTTGCGGGAGGATTCCTGAGTACAAAGGGGACCAAGCTATGACTGGGGCTTTTCACAATTTCAGTTTTGACTCCAACTCGCCAGAAGGGACTATGGAGGTTGTTTTCAGCCCAGCATTTAATACCTAGAAATCCCCTTACACTTCGGAAGGGCTTTACCCTTTTCCAGATGTTGGCATCCCAATGATAACCACGCATTGGTTGAGAAAGCATCTCTATCCCAACGTTAAGGAAAAGGAAATGGAAACTGAAAGGATCTGAGAGCTTGTCCAAGGTTGCACAGCTGGAAGGAGGCAGAGCCAGGATTCACATGCCGGACCCGGACCCAGGAGGGGCCTTGTGAAAGGGAACCAGGGGAAGGAAGGCAGGCTGTGCCCAGGAGAGGGTCTAAGAGAGGCAGACGGAAGGGAAGTTCCCCTCCTCCTGCCCCCACCCCATGACCTGGGCACACTGTTAGGGGCACATCATAAGGCCACTTTGCCTGCCACCTCCTCAGGACAACAGCAAAGCCAAGCCAGGATCTGGGCTGGCTCCGGGAAGTGCCCTGCTCTGGGTGTGTGAAGACCCACCACGTCCCTAGCAGGCATGCAGCACGGACCAGAATCTGGCTGATCTCATCGGGCCGCTTGTGCAGGACTGCAATCCCGTTCACTTCTCGGAGCTCATCTCCAACGTGGACCAGGCCTAGGAGACACAGGGACTGACCATCAGCACCTGAGGAGGAGGACCTCTGCACCCTCGCTCGGAGCTCCAAGGACCATGGGGGCCTGCCTGAGGAGCCCACTGACGGGCAGACTCCAGGTTTAAAGTTGATGGGTGGGACTGGGGCAAACTAAGCCCTGCTGGGGGCTGGGCACCTCACCCGGCATGGAGGTCTCAAATCACCCAGTAAAACCTCCAATTTACAGGTTAGCATCTGAGCCCCAGGAAGATTAAGCAGCTTGCCTAAGGCCACATTGCTAAGAAATAATGAAGCCAGTATTCAAACACAGTTGTTCTGATGTAGAAAGCCTGTGTTCTTTTTGCTATAACCTCTGCTTCTTTAAAATTATCATTAACTCTTCACCTTCCTAGGTTTACAGACATACTCTAAGAATGGCGTTCTTACCTCTCAACACGGAGAGATAAAGGCACCAGTGAAGACATCATGAAGAGTAAAAACATACTACGAGCCTCTGCCTGAATGGCCAACTGTCTCTGCAAATTAGGGCCCTATTTGCTACTCAAGTGGGCACTGACCCGGCAGCATCAGCATCACCTGGAGGCAGGTTAAAAGTGCAGAATCTTCAGCCCAGCCCAGACCTGCTGAGTCAGCCTGCCTTTTACCAAGATGCTTGGGGAATTCGTGTACTCGTTAATGTCTGCAAAGCATTGGTCTAGGATTCTCTGCAACAATGACCCCCCAGACTTTGCAGGTAACACCAGGAGGTTTGTCCCCCAGCTTAGTAGCTTCTCCACACACCGGCGGTTCTCAACCTGCTTTCCACCCAAATGAATCTGGGACACAAACACTCTCTTTGTAATAGCAGCTTGACAAGACCTGGGGTGGCGGGGAAGGGTGTCATCCCCCTCCCCCAAAGTAATCCCCAAGCCCATGCTATATTCTTAATTGTCACAGTCCTTGGACTAAACCGACACACGAGCTTTTTCACAATCGCCCCAAAGTACTCCATGACTATTATATTTTCTTTTTCTTTTTTTTTTAAGGGACAGCCTCACTGTGTCGCCCATGCTAGAGTGGAGTGGTGTAATCATAGTTCACTGCAACCTCAAACTCCTGGGCTCAATCTTCCCACCTGGGCCTCCCAAATAGCTAGGACTACAGGTGTGAGCCACTGTGGGTGGCCTATATTTTCTTTTTCCTTTTTTTTTTTTTGAGACAGAGTCTAACTCTGTTGCCCAGGCTGGAGTGTAATGGTGTGATCTCAGCTCACTGCAACCTCCACCTCCCAGGTTTGTGTGTTTAGTAGAGATGGGATTTCACCATGTTGGCTAGGCTGGTCTCAAATTCCCGGCCTCAAGTGATCTACCCACCTCGGCCTCCCAAAGTGCTGGGATTACAGGTGTGAGCAATCATGCCCAGCTGACCTATATTTTCTATTACAGTTTCTACTGACTTAGGGAGGAGATGAGAATTCCAGCCCCAACCCCAGAAAGCAAAGCACATCCCAAACAGGTGACCTGAGAGGAGGGAGGTAAGGGGCCCTAAAGCAAAGGCAGAGGGCTCTGGAACCATGGCCATGACGGGGCTGGGCCAAGTTCACACTGCCGCCACTCACCACTCCTGTCTGCTGCGCCTCCTCGCATGATTCTGGCCACCACAACAGCCCCTGAGTGCTCGTCCCGCCGGATGGTGGCACCCTGCACCCGAGACAGAAGACACAGGTTCTTAAGCAGCAGCTCCAAACCCCAGACCCCTATTCTCCAGGCCCAGCACAGCCTCCCCGACCCCTCCCTCTGACAGTCCAGAGGTCAGATCAGTAGGGACCTTCCCAGTGCTGATGACAAAACAAAACCAACATCCGCCCTCAGTAAAGCTCTGCACTTGACAGTTTACGAGGCACAATTACACTGTGACATTTTAGATGAGGGACTGGGGCACAGAGAAGGGAAACATTCTCAAGGTCACCCAGCTGGCAAAGGGGAAGGCTTTTTGTGATGCCAAATCCAGTACGTTCCCCGTCACATCTGTCATATCACAGTTCCTATCACTTGCAAAGACATTTAATAATGAGGATGACACGTGCCAGCTCATTCGCACCCCGCCTCTCCCCAATCACAGGGTTACCGGGCCTTCTGCTGTTGCTGAGGGAAACCAATTATGCACCCCAGCCAGAGCTTCAGGACCAGGACTTGGCCCATGAAGCACAGCAGAGATGACACTTAGGATGAGAGAGGCACTAATGAGCCCTCGATTTCCTGCACCGCGGAGGCCGGACTGCGGCAGGACAGCAGAAGGCTTAAACGCTAAGCGCTAGGGCTGGACAGCCCCGGGTGTGAACACAGCTCTACCATTGACAAAGAGCATGTGGCCTTAGCAAGGACATCTCTTATCCTCTCCAAGCCTGTTTCCTCTGAGGTGTGGGATAGCATTTAACTCACACGGTTGTTGCAAGGATTCCATGCAAGGCACTTAGTACACAGTAAGCACTCAACAAATGTTAACCACTTACGAGCAGCGGGAATTGCAAACATATTTGCACATTTCTCTTAACGTCATCTGTGCCATCTATTTGAAGTACATAAGATAATTATTGCTGGAAAGAGAGGCCGTCAGCTAAGAACCCCAGGACTTCTAGCTCCCCAGACCTGAGAACTTCCCAGCATCTCTAACCATCATTCATTCCACTCTGAACCGCCAGCACCCAGTACAGAGCCTGGAGAGGAGAGTTCACGATGTGTCTGCTAAATGAATGGCTGCTCAATTTTAAAGGTGAGGAAATAGAGGCAGAGGGGAGATCCTCGTCTATTTGCTCATTGGAGGTCATTTGGGGAAAGTTGGAAACAGAGAATGCCAGCTGTGGGATCCTCTGGAGCCAATCTCAATTCTCTGGGCTTCCACCACTTCCGTCCATCTCATAAACAACGCTGCCCCTTTGCTGGGTACATCAATGCTGGACCAGGACCAAAGTGATAGCAAACTGTCTGCCGGGGAGAGGAATGCCCTGTGCCTCCTCAACAGTCAGAGCAGGCATTGTCACACGTTTTCGGTAAGGGGCCACAGGTAAATATTTTAGGCCGGCCACACGGTCTCTGTCACTACGACTCAACTCTGCCATCGCCCTGTAAAGGCAGCCACAGCCAATCTGTAAGTGAATGGGCCTGGGCGTGCTCCAAAAAAGCTTTATTTAAAAAAATAGCCGGGCGCGGTGGCTCAAGCCTGTAATCCCAGCACTGTGGGAGGCCGAGGCGGGTGGATCACGAGGTCAAGAGATCGAGACCATCCTGGTCAACATGGTGAAACCCCGTCTCTACTAAAAATACAAAAAATTAGCTGGGCATGGTGGCACGTGCCTGTAATCCCAGCGACTCAGGAGGCTGGGGCAGAAGAATTGCCTGAACCCAGGAGGCGGAGGTTGCAGTGAGCCGAGATCGCGCCATTGCACTCCAGCCTGGGTAACAAAAGTGAAACTCCGTCTCAAAAAAAAATAAAAAATAAAAAAAAAAATAAGCTGTGGGCTGGGTTTGACCCTTGGGCTGTAGTTGGTCCATTTCTGGCTTAAAGGGTGATGGGGGTTACCCTGTACAATTGCGCAGGTTATTTACTGACAAAGGGAATTGGCCACAGTTGAGGGGGGCTGTATCCACCCAGAAGAAGGGGCGCCCTGCACACAGAGGTGACACAGAGACGAGCAGCAGGCCTGGTGAAGCTGCCATCACTCACTGAAGACTTCGGGAGGGTCCTGTCCCAATGTTCTGGGTGGGGGTGAGAGGCAAGGGAAGAGTGGGTTAGAGAGAGGCAGGCAGCACCTACCAGGGGTTCCTTGTTCTTCACCAAGCGGACGATCTTCACCGATTCCTCATCAAAATCCTCATCGATATTATCAGGCAGAGGTGGGAGAACGGGGTCAAAATTCTTCTGGGCAACCGTGTCATGTACCATGAGCACAGCCTGCCAGGAAAGCAAGAGAAAAGGAGGGCTGGCCCGCCACTCACAGGGTCAGCAGGCCTCGGCTGGGCAGTGGCCTGGAGGGTGGCGGACGTCATGCCAGAGAGACAACTGCCAGACACTGGCGCTGAGGACCGCTCCCTCAGATGTCTCCGCTCCGCAGCCTCACGAGGAGAGCCCCCTCCACCCTCATCCCAGGAGACACAGAGGCATGGGTGGGCGGGGCTCTGCGTGACTACCCTCAGGTGCGGAGTGGAGAGCAGCTGGAGCAGCTCTCTCTCATCACCGTGCACGGAGGCGGCCTGCAGCTCCTCCATCACCTGCAGAGAACAAGACAGGTGCTGCCGATGGCTGGGGGTGCCCCTGTACCACATCTGCTGGGTCCTTCCTCTTTGGACTACAGATTCAAGGACCCACCCAGCTGCGGCCCCCAGGGGCACACCAGACCCTCAGTCACCCCAGGACGATGCTCCCGGGAACATCACGCCAGGGGTCAGGAGCAGCTCTGTGGAGCCATCCTCTGAGGAATCACCGTCTTAAGCCCTGTGTGCTTTCTGCTTTACGTGGACCTTCTCACTGAACCCTTGCAATCAACTAGAGGCAGAGGGTCTTGTTACTTTGCCATTTTACAGATGAGAATCCTGAGACTCAAAGGGATTAAGCATCTTGCCCAAAGTCACAGAGTTTGTATACAGCACAGCTAGGATTTGAACCTGGGCTTACCTGGCTCTCAGATGCTATTTTACGAGTGAGGAAATGGGAGCTCAGAGAAGTTGAGTGGCCTGCTTACCATCACAGAGCTGGTGGGACAGGCAGCGGCTGAGCCTGGGAGCCGGGCAATTGAACGTGCCCCTGATCATATTCCATAGCGGAGAAGCGCCCAGGGCTCTGCACCCACAGGCTGCCCCCATCCTCCCCAGGCCATCTCCTGGGGTTAGGTGAGATTATTCAGGAACTGATCTTAGTAATCAGCCAGAATGGCTTTTCCCCAACCATGCAACACAGACAACTAGATTCACAAGAAATTAAGAAGCATTCCTTTAAAAAGTGAGAAGCCTGAGCCATTATGCAGGGACACACTATAGGTCCCTTGACTTCAGAAAAGCACAGATACAATATCTTATTGACCTATTCAAATCGCCAGTCCTCAGGGCAGTTTGGGAACTGCTGAGCCAATCCAATGTTCTCATTTACAGCAGAGGAAACAGACTTTCTCAAGAACACACAGTGAGTGGGTAGCCCCATGTCACCGTGTCTCCCAGCCCAGTCCAAGGCTCACAGGTTCCTCCCTGCCTTTTGGCGGGGAGGGGACCCAGAGAGAGGAAGAGGAATTGGAGGAGGGCAAGGGAAGAAAACACCTCTTCACCTTTGGGCTCCTGATTCCCGTTGTCCCCAGGCTAAGCAAACAAGGCAAGACGAAGGAGCCCTACAGGGTGGGGAGTGGGGCGGACGCTGCAAGGAAAAACCGAGGCTTACGTCCTCAGCAAGGGCCACAGCACTGTGCAGAACTGGGGTTGGACTTTGCCTTTCGTAATAGCGAAGCTTCTCGTGAATCTGCAAAGACAGACTATTTCAGATGCACCCTGGACACCACACATCCCACCCACGGCTGTGGGGACACTTAGGGCAGCAGACTGGGCCACTGATGGGGCACCATAAGAGAAAGTCCTGTGTAGTGGGCAAGTGAAGGCCTTCCTGGGGCAGGGAGATGAGTAGGATGACCTCAGACGGCCATAGACAGCGAGAAAGACCTCCAGACACCCTTCCAGGCAGGATGACGTGGGACTTCACCTTCATTAAGTAACTGAGGCTTTTTTCGCTGAAAACATCCCTCAGGAAGCCCATCTCTTCCTTGTGGTTGGAGTCAGGTCTGAGCTGGGAGGTCAGCAGGGCCAGGGTTTCATGCAAACCTGGAGAGAGTGTGAGAAAAACAAGGGATAGCAATAGCCACGGGTGCTCCCTGCCCCCAGAAGCCCGAGTGGAGCCTCAAACACCACTTTGGTCCTGCGGCGAGGACATCCTCTCCCCTGGCTCTCACTGCCAGGGCCTGGAGGCTGCCAGGCAAGCTGTCTTCAGGGCTGTGGCAGGTCCAGCCCCAGGGAGGTGCTTACCAGAGTCCTCCGACAGCACGGGCATGCTGGTGTCCGTCCACACGTCCCGACCTCTCCCTGCAGATTCTGGGAAAAAGGAGGCAGGATGGGTATTGAAGCTCCATCAAACATATTTATTCAACAGCGACTACACATCCACTGCGTTCTCTGAGACCAGGGCGGACAGAGGATGGGAACAAATGACTCCTCTGCTCACGTTTTTCAGAGGAAGGAAATAAAGCTCAGATGTGCTGAGTCCTCAATGTGCCAAGCATTGTGTGGGGTGATTTCCATGATAAATTTTTTTGTCTGCACAAAGTCCTGAGAAATGACTGCTAATGTTCCCATTTTACTGATGAAGAAACAGGCGCGTGGAGGGGTTCAGTCAGTGGTGGGTCAAAATCCATATTCCAGCGCGCTCTTCCAGGCCGGCCTTGGAGGTGCCAAGTGACCCTGCCTGACAGTGTCTGCTGTCCTCCGCAGCGCGCCCCTCCACTGTAACCTTGTAAGAGGCCTGCCTCAAGTCTCCCGCTGGGACCCACCTTCCACAGCTACAAGCCTCCTCTCCCCGACCCCCCAAGACCCAAACCAAAGGGAGCCTCCAGACTGGGGTGCAGAGAGGAGGGGGAGACCTGGGAGTCGGGCTTCCACTATGCGGGAGGACGGACCCCTATCTCGGGAGTCCCCCGAAGGTGGTCTGCAGCACGTGGACCACCTCAAAAAGTCCTCCTTCGGAAGGGGAGAAGGACAGTCATGATTGATTCAATCCGCAAACATGGAGCCAGCCGGCGGCGCCGAGCCCCCGTGCCACCAAGAGGCGTACGAACCGCCCCGGGCTCTCCAGCCCCCGCCCCGCCCCGCCACTCCGGACTCACCCTCGGCTGCTCCCCGCAGGCGGCCGCGCACCGACTCCCGCTCGCTCTCCGAAGGAACCTGTGGGACGGACAGGGAGCGCGCTGGGCGCAGGAGCGGCGACCCCGGGGAACCTCGAAGGACGGTCGCGGAGGACGCGAAGCTGGGGTCGCGCGGGGGGCGGGCGCGGGAGGAGAGGGGCGCGGGCCGAGGGGCGGGGCTGAGACCCCCGCGGGGGCTCGGTGGGCCGCGAGGCTGCCGGGGAGCTCGAGGGGAGGGTCTCCCTCCGGCCTCCCGCCCCTCCCGCCGTGGCGCCCAGCTCCCTCGTCCGCTCCCCGCGCCGCCTCCTACCTAGTCGCGCCGGGTTGTGTGCTCCGCGACCGGGAGCCGCGCGGGTGCCCCGAGCCTGGGCCGCCGCTGGCTCCGCCTTCCCAGGCCCCTCCCTGCGGCTGCCGCGCCTGGCGGGGGTGGTGGAGCCGGAGGAGGCGCGGCGCGGGGAGGAGGCGGGGGAGGAGCGGAGGCCGCCCTCCGCGTCTGGCACCGCCGCCCCCCGGGCGGGCCTCGTATCCCCTCCCACTCTCCCGCTCTCCCGCTCCCCAAGCCCCCAGCCTGTGTCCCCCGCCCTGGCACACAACCAGCCTTTCCTTCCGCCCGCACGACCCACCCTCCGCGAATGGTAGGGTGGACACCTGCTCAACAGATAATTCGATTTCGCAAACATTTATTGAGCGCCCTCCAGGTGCCAGGCGCTGTGCCAGGGGCCGGGGCTCCAAAGACGACCGAGGCAGAGATCCCAGGTTTGAGGTTCTCCCGAGCCGGGGCGGGGGGGCCGGTCGGATACGAAGGCAACTTGCTGTAACAATGCAACGCGCTGGGAAAGATTTATCGGTGCACGCTGCCCTGGGGGCTCGGAGCAGGGGAGGAGAAGTCAAGCTGGAGAGAAGGGGGACTCCATTCTGCCTGGCTGCAGCGGGGTGGGGCTGCATGGCAAAGGCGACCAGCATCCAAGGGCTTTACTGGAGAAAGAGCTCTGAAATGGCCACGACCATAACTGACTTCCATTGTGCTGTCCCCATGCCCAGTTACTCCTCAGATCAATTCCTCACCGTAGCCCCATCGAGATATCGAGACCATTATTATTTTGGTTCTGCAATTGAGGAAACTGAGGTTGGGGTGGAAGGATGTGTATCGTGGAGAGCATAGGAACTGCTGTGCGAGTGAGCAGGTGGTTGTGGGTATTAGAAGGTGAAGCGTGGGTGAGTGAGGGGCCCCCTTCCCTCAATCCCAGCAGCAAAGAACAACGAAGCACATGTCAGGAGAGGTGGACCCAGAGGTTAAATCTGGAGGTAAATCTAGCCCTGCACAGCAACCAGGGAAAATGGGTTGGCAGGCCCTGCAGGCTGTGCATGGGGAGGCTGTGAGAGGCAGCAAATGTCATGATGTTTCCCCTAATTCCTCAAAAATTATCCACACCATTGCTCCTCAAAATGTAATGTGTCTGAGACTCACTAGGGGTTTGTGTAAGGCTGGGGTAGTGCTAGATTCTGAATTTCTAACAAGCTCCCAGGTGATGTGATGCCACTGGTCTTAGACCACATGATACACATTTTTAGCTGCAATGCTTAGTGTTGGAGCGATAATGAGAACCATCTGATACAGAGTAAAATGATTTTGGACAAGAGCACCAGGAAGTGGTCTTGGAACAAGCAGATATTTATGTGTGTGAAGGGACCCAATCCCTACCTCACACCATATTCAAAACACAATTTAAGAGAGATCATAGGCCTAACTAAACATAAAGAAAATTGATAAAGCTACTAGAAGAAAACAGGAGGGTATCTTTTAAATCTTGAGGTATGCAAAGATTTTTTAGAAAGGATACAAAAAAAGCCAGGCATGGTGGCATGAGCCTATATCCCACATACTCAGAAGGCTGAGGCAGAAGGATTGCTTGAGCCCAGGAGTTCAAGGCTGCAGTGAACTATGATTGGTCCACTGCACTTCAGCTTGGGTGACAAAAAGAGACTCTATCTCTAATAAAAGAAAAAAGAAAAGACATGGACACTAAAAACAATTAATAAATGGACCTCATCAAAATTTAAAACTTCTGCTCATCAAAAAACACTATTGGCCGGGCTCAGTGGCTCATGCCTGTAATCCCAGCATTTTGGGAAGCCAAGGCAGGCAGATTACAAGGTTAGGATATTGAGACCATCCTGGCTAACACGGTGAAATCCTACCTCTACTAAAAATACAAAAAATTAGCCGGGCATGGTGGCACGTGCCTGTAGTCCAAGCTACTCAGGAGGCTGAGGCAGGAGAATCACTTGAACCTGGGAGGGGGAGGTTCAGTGAGCCGAGATCACACCACTGCACTCCAGCCTGGGCAACAGTGAGACTCCGTCTAAAAAAAAAAAAAACACACTATTAAGAAAATAGGACCAGGTGCAGTGGCTCACACCTGTAATCTCAACACTTTGAGAATTCAAGGTGGGTGGATGACTTGAGCCCAGGAGTTCAAGACCAGCCTGAGCAACATGGCAAAACCCAGTCTCTACTAAAATTACAAAAACTAGCCAGGCGTGTTGGCTTGTGCCGGTAGTCCCAGCTGCTCACGAGACTGAAGTAGGAGGATCACTTGAGCCTGGGAAACAGAGGTTACAGTGAGCCATGATTGTGCCACTGCTTTCCAGGCTGGGCAAAAAAAGAAAGAAAGAAAAAAGACTAACGCCCCAACCAAAAAACAGGCAAAGATATGAACATGCACTTCACAAAATAAGATATACAAATAACCAATAAGCATATGAGAAAGCCCATATCCAACATCATTTGTCATCAGGGAAATGCAAATTAAAACCTGTCTTAGCCAGTTCCTGCTACTATAACAAAGCACCACAGTAATTTATAAGTAATAGAAATGTATTGCCTACAGTTGTAGAGGCTGGAAAGTCCAAAATCAAGAGGGCAGCAGGTGCAGTGTCTGGTGAGGGCCTGTTCCTCACTGATAACATTGGAAATGTATCCTCACATGGTGGAAGAAAAAGACAGGCATAAAGTGATGAACGCTGTGTCCTCATGTGGTGGAAGGAGCCAAAGGGGCTAGGGTGCTCCCTTCAAGTGCTCCACTGTTCACATGTGGTATATCCATACAATGGTATATTTACTTGCCAATAAAAAGAAACAAACTACTACTCAAAGACTATCCCTACCATGCAACAACATGGATGAAAGTCAAAATAGATTGACTGGCCCAGGTGCAGTGGTTCACACCCGTAATCCCAGCACTTTGGGAGGCTGAGGCAGGTGGATCACCTCAGGTCAGGAGTTTTAAACCAGCCTGGCCAACCTGCTGAAACCCCATCTCTACTAAAAATACAAAAAATTAGCCAGGTATGGTGGCAGGCACCTGTAATCTCAGCCACTCAGCAGGCTGAGGCAGGAGAATCGCTTGAGCCCGGGAAGCGGAGGTTGCAGTGAGCTGAGATCACATCATTGTACTCCAGCCTGGGTGAAAGAGCGAGACTCCGTCTCAAAAAAAATAAATAAATAAATTAGCCAGGCATGGTGGCGGGCACCTATAATCCCAGCTATTCAGGGAGGCTGAGGCACGAGAATCACTTGAACCTGGGAGGTGGAGGTTGCAGTGAGCTGAGGTCACGCCACTGCACTCCAGCCTAGGCAACAGAACAAGACTCCATCTCAAAAAATAGCTAGCTAGCTAGGTAAATGATAGATAGATAGATAGATAGATGGAATGAAAAAAGGCAAACACAAAAAAGTACATCCTGTATTACTGGGGTGTTGTAATCTTGATGCCAAAGGTCAGAGGCTTTCATTAGGTCACCTGCCTGTAGTCCCAGCTACTCAGGAGGCTGAGGCGGAAGAATCGCTTGAACCCAGGAGGCGGAGGTTGCAGTGAGCCGAGATTGCGCCACTGCACTCCAGCCTGGGGACAGAGCAAGACTCCGTCTCAAAAAAAAAAAAAAAAAAAGAAACCTTATTATTATTAAAATTTACCAAAACTACCTGAAAAGAAAGATAAAATATTAATAGGTCAATCTTAATAGAGTAGAGTTGTCAACTGCTCCCTCAAAAAGCACCAGGTCCTCCTAGTTCCGCAGGAGAGCTTCACCAAACATTTAAGGAACAAAACATTTTAATTCTTCTAGAATGTAGAAATAGAAGGAAATCTTCAAAATTCTTTTAATAGCATTGATAACAAAACCTGTAAAAAAAAAAAAAAAGAAAAAAAAAAAAAAAAAACCCTGCAAATCAATCGCATTTAGAAATATTGGTGCAAAAATTCTAAAAACTGTATTAGCTAACAAATTCATCAGAACATCAAAAGAATAACTCACCATGAACAAATAGAGTGTGTTCTTAAAATGATTTAATATTTGGAAATTACGTTGCTTAATATTTAGAAAGCTATTACTAAAACTCCATGTAAGACAATCTATCAATAGGATAAAAAGTTAGGCGGGGCACAATGGCTCACTCCTGTAATCCCAGCACTTTGGGAGGCCGAGGCAGGCGGATCACTTGAGGTCAGGAATTTGAGACCAGCCTGGCCAACATGGTGAAAACCCATCTCTGCTAAAAATGTTGGGCATGGTGGCACATGCCTGTAGTTCCAGCTGCTTGGGAGGCTGAGGAAAAAGAATTGCTTGAACTGGAAGGTGGAGGTTGCAGTGACTGGAGATCATGCCAGTGCACTCCAGTCTGGGCGACAGAGCAAGACTGTGTCAAAAAACAAAACAAAACAAACAAAACACAACAGTTCTTTTCATTAAAAGTAAATGGTCTAGGCCAGGTGTAGTGGCTCACACCTGTAATTCCCAGCACTTCAGGAGGCCAAGGCAGGAGAATCACCTGCGATCAGGAGTTCCAGACCAGCCTGGAGAATATCATGAGACCTCATCTCTAAAAAAATAATAAACAAAGTTAGCCGGGTGTGGTGGCATTTGTCTGTGGTCCCAGCTACTCAGGAGGCTGAGGTGGAGGATTGCTTGAGCCCTGGAGATGGAGGCTGCAATAAGCCATGGTCATGCCACCGCACTCCATCCTGGGCGTTAGAGTGAGACCCCATGGCTAAAAACAAAACAAAAGAAAAAAATCAGTGGGCTAAATCATCCAATTAAAAGTCAAGGATCGTTAGACTATATTAAAAAGCAAGACTTAATGTGCTTTCTAGAATAAACTCACTTGAAAAATAAAGACACAGATATGCTAAAAGAAAATGAATAAAAAAAGATTTACACTAATTAATAAAGCTGGAGTAACTACATTAATATAGGGCAAAGTAGACCTCAAAACGAGGAATATTACCAGGGAAAAAGGGGGCTATTTCATAATGATAAGCGATCAGTTGATCAAGCGGACATATCCTATGTGTATGAATCCCTAAATGTGTATGAATCTAATCAAG